TCAGTAGTATTGCCAGTAGTAGTAGTAATGTCAGTAGCAGTAGTAATTGTCAGTATTAGTAGTATTATTGTCAGTATCAGTAGGTTTGTCAGACATTATTTGTATATTGTCATAAGCAGTAGTATTGTCAGTAATTAGTTATATTATTGTCAGTAGCAGAAGAATTGTCAGTATTAGTATAGTATTGGTCAGTATCAGTAGTATTGTCATTAGCAAGTATATTGTCAGTAGTTCGAGAGTATAGTAATATTATACAGTATTATAGTATGTATTGTCATTATTAATAAGAATTGACAGTAGTAGAAGTAATGTCATTAGTAGTAATAATGTTCATTAGTAGTATAATTGTCAGTAGTAGTAGTATTGTTCAGTAGTAGTAGTTATCTGTCCAGTAGTAGTATATTGTCAGTAGTAGTAGTATGTCAGTATTAGTAAGTATATTGTCAGAAGTAGTAGTATTTGTTCAGTAGTACATAAAAACGAGGATCAGAAGAAAGAAGTAACACTGCAGCAGGCTACTGGCCTATGCTAGACAGTTCCAATTCTCCCACCGGGTAAGGCCATCTTTGACCTAGTGTTGGTAGACACATCACTTAAGGGAGGACCACAAGAACCCCGACCTGGTAGCACAAGCTAGTTCAGGTCCAACACAAACCCACCCACACTCACTCATATATTTATCCAACCTATTTTTAAAACTACACAACGGTCTATATCGTCTATGACGTACTTCGGGTTTGTTCGCACCATCCACAACTCTAATAACCAAACTCAGTGCTTTCCTATATCCTTCTCGGATTATGAATATTTTCCAATTTAAAAAACCATTCATGCGAGTCCTGTCTATTAAATATTTAAAGCACTCTTACATCCCCTTTATTAATTCCTGTTTTTCCATTTATACACATCAATCATATCCTCTCCTCCCTAATCCTACGCCATTTCTAGAGAGTAGCAGATTCAGGCCCCGGTCCTATCACCATATGAAGATTCTGATACATTTGATCATCTTTGTCATCCTCCTCTATAAACGTTTTACCAGTTCATTTATATCCATTCTGTAATAACGGTCACCTAAGACTGCTAGCATGATACTCTAAAAGAGGCCAAATAAATAATAGAGTTGAAGGAATTAACTAAGGACGCTTTATTATTTATACATTTTCATGCTATGAAGCCAATGATTCAGTTACCTTTATTGCGAGCACTAATGCATCGAAATGTCCTTGATTTTATATTATTGCTTTAAACCCCAAAAAATACACCTAAATCCTTTTCGGCATCCGTAATCTATCATTATTTAGTATATAGGCTTGGTTATTTTCCTGATCCAACATTTAGAACTCGTGCATATGTCATATTAAACTGCATCTGACACTTCCACGATGCACTGCATCGAGTCTATTCAAATCATCCTGAGTGCTCTATGTCCCTCTCATTGGAATAAATTGGACTGCCTATTTGGAGTCATCAGCAAATTTGCTTATGTCGGCTAGTTTATTACCCTCGTCTATGACGATTACGTAAATTGTGAACAACAAGGGGCACAACATTGAGACCCCGCTGATGAACACCCGCTTGTTGACGCGTGCACCCATTCTGATTTCTACCCATTTATGCTCTACCCGGAAAAATTTCTCCTATTCCGTGTCCTTAAATTACTTCGATAACCTCTGATGTGGAACTCTAACGAAATTCCTTATGAAGTCCATGTACACAATATTATATTCGTTATAATTATCCAACCTCCTCAAACACACTTAGTGAAGAAAATTAGTAAATTCTAGACAGGATACGCCCCTTCGTAAAACCGTGCTGAGATCATTAATCAATTTATGCCTCGAGATGCTACGAATTGCTATGCTGTCGGCAATTATTGATTCCAAAAATTTTCCCCCTATTAGTGAGGTAATACCTTATTGACTCTATACGTCGAATCAAGGGCGACCTCCAGTCACCAGCCATGAAAATAGTGTATTACAATTGCCATTTTCCACTTATCAGCATTACGCAAGCTTGTAGTGATAATAAACCAAGATTATGCCCAAGGATCAATCTAAGTTCCCCCCCACCCCTATTTTAAACAACATTCTTAAACACCGCTTGCACACAGTTCCTCAGGACCTGGGGATATGTATGGTTTTAATTTCTCTCATTTTGCATGATAAGCGTATCAGTAGTTACCTGCAATCTGTGTCAAGTTATAATTATCGTCCTGTTTCTACATAATCTATTATTTCAGGAATTTCGCTATATTTCTGGGTAAAAACTGGAGGAAGTATGAAAAATTTCACACGTATCCTTATCACTGTCAGTGAACTGACAGTAGTAAGAAGATTGTCAGCAGTAGTTGTGTCACACTCAGTTTTTTAATTCTATCAACTGGTCACACCACTAAACAACTGTGCACACCACTATCAACTGTGATCACAACCACTAATCAACCTGTGTCACACCAGCTATCAACTGATTTCTTACCAATCAACTGTGTCACACCACTATCCACTGTGTCACACTACTATCAACGTGTCAACACTCACAACAACTGTCCACAACCACTATCAACTGTGTCACACGCACATCGACTGTGTCCACACCACAACAACAGTGGCACACCACATCACACCGTGTCCACACCACGATCAAACTGTGTCACACTACTATCACTGTGTCACACCACATCAACTGTGTCACAAAACCACCGGTCAACTGTGTACACCACTTTCATCGAACTTTGTCAAACCACTAGACAACTGGTCCACACAAACTATCAGCTTGTCAACACCACATCAACTGTGTCACACCACATCAACTGTGTCACACAACTTTCAAACTTTGTCACACCACTATCAACTGTGTCACACCACTATCAACGTGTCTTACCACTACAACTGTCACACAACACTAGGAGATACCACTATCAACACTGTCACATCACATCAACTGTGTCACACCACCATCAACTGAATCACACCACCATCAACTGTGTGACACCACTATCAACTGTGTCACACGTCGAATGTGACACAAACCACATCGACTGGCGTCACACACGTACATCAAATGTGTCACACACCACATTAACTGTCGACAATACCACATAGAACTGTGTCACACACACATAAACTGTGTCACACCACCATCAACTGGGTCAAACAACATCAACTGTGACACACCATCATCAACCGTCATTGTCACACCACCTTCAACTGTGTTACACAATCATCAACCGTGACTGTCACACCACCAACTGTGTCACACCATCATCTACCGTGACTGTCACACCACCATCAACTGTGTCACACCATCATCAACTGTGACTGTCAACACCACCTGTGTCACATCATCATCAACTGTGACTGTCACATCCCCCTTGTCTCTAACTTTTTAGAGATCGTTGTGGTCCGCTTGTTTCTGACATTAGAAAAGATATCATTGTGGCAACGTTTCATGTGCTAGTTTCATGTGCTGCGCCACATCTATCCTGTGGAGGGCAGCGCAAGAGCTAGTTTCATGTGCTGCGCCACATCTATCCTGTGGAGGGCAGCGCAAGAGCTAGTTTCATGTGCTGCGCCACATCTATCATGTTGAGGTCACGCAAGAGCTAATTTCATGTGCTGCGCCACATCACCTGTGAGGGGGCAGCGCAAGAGCTAGGTTTCCATGTGCTGCGCCACATCTATCCTCTTGGAGGGGCGAGCGCAAGGAGCTAGTTTCATGTGCATGCGCCACATCAATCCTAGTGGAGGGCAGCGCATAGAGCTAGTTCATGTGCTGCGCCACATCTACCCTGTTGAGGCAGCGCAAGAGCTAGTTTCATGTGCTGCGACACAACCATCCTGTTGATGACAGCGCAAGAGACAATTTTCATGTGCTGCGGCCACATCCAACCCTGTGGAGGCAGCCGCAAGAGCTAGTTTCTGTGCTGTCGCCACATCCTCTATCCTGTGGAGGGGCAGCGAAAGACTAGTTCATGTGCTTGCGCCACATCTATCCTGTGAGGGGCAGCGAAATAGCAAGTTTCATCATGTGCTGCCCATATCTACCCTGTGGAGGTCAGCGAAAGAGCTAGTTTCATGTGGCTGGGCCACATCTACCCCTGTGGAGCAGCGCCAGAGCTAGTTTCATGTGCTGCGCCACATCTAACCCTGTGGAGGCAGCGCAAGAGCTAGTTTCAATGTGCTGCGCCACATCTACCTGTGGAGGGCAGCGCAAGAGCTAGTTTCTATGTGCTGCGCCACATCCACCCTTTGGAGGGCAGCGCAAGAGCTAGTTTCATGTGCTGCGCCACATCTATCGCCAGTGGAGGCAGCGAAAGAGCAGTTTCATGTGCTGCGCCACATCTATCCAGTGGAAGGGCAGCGAAAGAGCTAGTTTCATGTGCTGCGCCACATCTATACCCTGTGGAGGGCACGAAAGAGCTAGTTTCATGTGGCTGCGCACATCTACCCAGTGGAGGGCAGCGCAAGAGCTAGTTTCATCATGTGCTGCGCCACATCTCCCTGTGAGTCGCTCGAGGCAGCGCAAGACTAGTTTATCATGTGCTGGCGCCACATCTACCCTGTGGAGTGCAGCGCAAGAGCGAGTTCATGTGGCTGCGCACAGCTATCCTGTGGAGGGCACGCAAGAGCTAGTTACATGTGGCTGCTGCCACATCTACCCTGTGGAGGGACAGCGCAAGAGCTAGTTTCATGATGCGCGTCCACAATCATCCTGTGGAGGGGCAGCGCAAGAGCTAGTTTCATGTGCTGCGCCTCATCTACCCTTGGAGGCACGCCATAGAGCTAGTTTCCATGCTGCTAGCGCCACATCTATACCCTGTGGAGGGCAAGCGTGCAAGAGCTAGTTTCATGTGCTGCGCCACAACCATCTGTGGAGGGCGAGCGCAAAGAGGCTAGTTTCATGTGCAGCCCACATCCACCCTGTGAGGCAGCGCAAGAGCTAAGTTTTCATGTGCTGGCGACACATCCACCCGTGGAGTGCACGCAAGAGCTAGTTTCATGTGCTGCCGCCACATCTACACCTGTGGAGGGCAGCGCAATGAGCAGTTTTCATGTGCTGCGCCACATCCATCCTGTGGAGGGTCAGCGCCAAGAGCTAGTATTTCATGTGCTGCGCCACATCCCTCCTGTGGAGGGCAGCCAAGAGCTAGTTTTCATGGCATCGCCACATCTAGTCCTGTGGAGCGGCAGCGCAAGAGTCTAGTTTCATGTTGCATTGAGCGCCCATCTAGTCCTGTGGAGGCGGCAGCGAAAAGAGCTATTTCATGTGCTCGCCACATCTATCCTGTGGAGTCAGCGAAAGAGCAAGTTTCAATGTGCTGCGCACAACTATCCTGTGGAGGGCAGCGCAAGAGCTAGTTTCATGTGCGTGCGCCACAACTTTCCTGTTGAGTGGTCGAGCGAAAGACTAGTTTCATGTGAGCTAGCGGTCCACATTCATACACCTGTGAGGGCAGCGCAAAACTAGTTCTCTTCATGTCATGCTGTGCGTGCCACTATCTAATCCTGTGGAGGGCAGAGGCAAGAACTAGTTTCATGTGCTAGCGCCCACATCTACCCTGTGGAGGGCAGCGCAAGAGCAAGTTTCAATATGCTGGCGCGCCACATCTACCCTGTGAGCGCAGCGCAAAGAGCTAGTTTCATGTGCTGCTCCACCCCCAATCTATCCATGTGAGGAAGGCAGCGCAAGAGCAGTTTCATGTGCAGCGCCACATCCATCCTTTGGAGTGGCACAGCCCAAGATGCTAGTTTCATGTGCTGCGCCACATCCATCCTGTGGAGGGCAGCGCAAGAGCTAGTTTCATGTGCTGCGCCACATCTATCCTGTGGAGGGCAGCGCAAGAGCTAGTTTCATGTGCTGCGCCACATCTATCCTGTGGAGGGCAGCGCAAGAGCTAGTTTCATGTGCTGCGCCACATCCACCCTGTGGAGGGCAGCGCAAGAGCTAGTTTCATGTGCTGCGCCACATCCATCCTGTGGAGGGCAGCGCAAGAGCTAGTTTCATGTGCTGCGCCACATCTACCCTGTGGAGGGCAGCGCAAGAGCTAGTTTCATGTGCTGCGCCACATCTACCCTGTGGAGGGCAGCGCAAGAGCTAGTTTCATGTGCTGCGCCACATCCATCCTGTGGAGCGCAGCGCAAGAGCTAGTTTCATGTGCTGCGCCACATCTACCCTGTGGAGGGCAGCGCAAGAGCTAGTTTCATGTGCTGCGCCATATCTACCCTGTGGAGGGCAGCGCAAAGAGCTAGTTATTGCTGCCACATCTACCCTGTGGAGCGCAGCGCAAGAGCTAGTTTCATGTGCTGCGCCACATCCACCCTGTGGAGGGCAGCGCAAGAGCTAGTTTCATGTGCTGCGCCACATCCACCCTGTGGAGCGCAGCGCAAGAGCTAGTTTCATGTGCTGGCGCCATATCATACCCTGTGGAGGCAGCGCAAGAGCTAGTTTTCATGTGCTGCGCCACATCTACCCTGTGGAGGGCAGCGCAAGAGCTAGTTTCATGTGCTGCGCCACATCTACCCTGTGGAGGGCAGCGCAAGAGCTAGTTTCATGTGCTGCGCCACATCTACCCTGTGGAGGGCAGCGCAAGAGCTAGTTTCATGTGCTGCGCCACATCCATCCTGTGGAGCGCAGCGCAAGAGCTAGTTTCATGTGCTGCGCCACATCTACCCTGTGGAGGGCAGCGCAAGAGCTAGTTTCATGTGCTGCGCCATATCTACCCTGTGGAGGCAGCGCAAGAGCTAGTTCATGTGCTGCGCCATATCTACCCTGTGGAGGGCAGCGCAAGAGCTAGTTTCATGTGCTGCGCCATATCTACCCTGTGGAGGGCAGCGCAAGAGCTAGTTTCATGTGCTGCGCCACATCTACCCTGTGGAGGGCAGCGCAAGAGCTAGTTTCATGTGCTGCGCCACATCCATCCTGTGGAGGGCAGCGCAAGAGCTAGTTTCATGTGCTGCGCCACATCCATCCTGTGGAGGGCAGCGCAAGAGCTAGTTTCATGTGTCTGGCCACATCTACCCTGTGGAGGGCAGCGCAAGAGCTAGTTTCATGTGCTGCGCCACATCCATCCTGTGGAGGGCAGCGCAAGAGCTAGTTTCATGTGCTGCGCCACATCTACCTGTGGAGGCGCAGCGCAAGAGCTAGTTTCATGTGCTGCGCCATACCCACCCTGTGGAGGGCAGCGCAAGACCCTATTTTCATGGGGTTTGCCCCCAACATCCACCCTGTGGGGCAGCGCAAGAGCTATTTTTCATTTTTGCTGCCCACATACCCTGTGGGGGGCCCGCGCAAGAGCTATTTTTCTTTGGGGCTGCCCCACATCCACCCTGTGGGGGGCAGCGCAAGAGCTATTTTAAATGTGCTGCGCCAACCCACCCTGTGGAGGGCACCGAAGACTTTTTTTCATGTGTTTGCGAAACACCCATCCTGTGGGGGGCGCGCAAAAAAGGCTTGTTTAAATGTGTTTGGGGCCACATCCCCCCCTGTGGAGGGCAGCGCAAGAGCTGGGTTTCATGTGCGGGGCCCAACCCCACCCTTTGTTGGGGAGGGCACACAAGAGCAAAGTTAATGTGCCCGGCCACATCTAATTTTTGGAGGGGCAGCGCCAAAGCTAGTTTATGTCCCTGCCCCAATCTACCCTGTGGGGGGCCCAGGGGCAAGAGCTATTTTTCATGTGCGGGCGCCTATCCCCTTTTGTGGAGGGCAGCGCAAAGAGCTAGTTTCATTTTGCTGCGCCACATCTACCCTGTGGGGGGGCAGCCAAGAGCTATTTTCCATTTTGCTGCGCCCAAAAATCTACCCTGTGGAGGGCAGGAAAAGTGCTATTTTTCTTTGGCTGGCGCCATTTTAAACCCTTGTGGAGGGCAGCGCAAGAGTATTTTTCATGGGGCTGGCCATATCTCCCCTGGGGAAAGGAGCCCCGAAGAGCTATTTTCCCATGTGCTGGGGCCAATCTACCCGGGTGGAGGGCAGCCCCAAGAGCTAGTTTCATGGGCTGCGCCTATCACCCTGTGGAGGGCAGCGCAGAGTATTTTTCATGTGCTCCCGCCAATCTCCCCCGTGGAGGGCACGCAAGAGTTTTTTTTCATGGGGCTGCGCCAAAACCCCCTGTGGAGCGCAGGCGCAAAAAGCTTTTTCCCAAGTGCTGCGCCATTTTCAACCCTGTGGGGGAAAGCCCCAAGAGTTTTTCCAATGTGCTGCGCCACATCTACCCTGTGGAGGGGCGCGCAAGACCCTAGTTTCATGGGCTGCGCCACATCCCCCCCTGTGGGGGGCACGCAAGGCTATTTTCTTGCGACCAAAATCTATCCGGGGAAAGGGCAGGGGCAAGAGCGTTTCATGTGGGCCGCCATAAAAACCTCCCCGGGTGGGGGGAGCGCAAGAGCAAGTTTCATGTGTTTGGGGCCAAAATATCTACCCTGGGGAGGGCAGCGAAAAGAGCTAGTTTCATTTTTCTGCCCCCTAACTACCCTGGGGAGGGCAGCGCAAGAGCTAGTTTCATTTTGCTGCCCATATCTATCCGTGGACGCAGCGAAAAGAGCTTTTTTCCAATGTGCTGGCCATATCTACCCTGTGGAGGGAAAGGCCCCAAGAGTAGTTTCATGTGTTTGCGCCACATCTACCCTGTGGAGGGACCCGGCAAGAGCTGTTTCATGTGCTGCGCCACATCAAACCCTGTGGAGGGCAGCGCAAGAGCTATTTTTAAATGTGCTGCGCCACATCTACCCTTGTGGAGAGGGCAGCGCAAGAGCTAGTTTCAGGGTGTTTGGGGCCAAACATTTTACCCTTTTGGAGGGCAGCGAAAAAGGGGCCCTAGTTTTCATTGCTGCGCCCAATCTCCCCGGGTAAAAAGGGCGGGCGCAAGAGCTAGTTTCATGGGGCTGGGGCCAAAATCTACCCTTGGGGGGCCAAGCGCAAAGCTAGTTTCATGTGCTGCGCCACATCTATCCTGTGGGGGGCCAGCCCAAGAGCTAGTTTCATTTTCTGCGCCACATCAAACCCTGGGGGAAGGGCAGCGAAAGGAGCTATTTTTTCATGGGGCTGCGCCCACCCTACCCTGTGGAGGGCAGCCCCAAAGGCTATTTTCATGTGCTGGCCACATCCACCCTGTGGGGGGGGCACCCTCCAAGAGCTTTTTCATGTCCCCGCGCCACATCCTTTCCTGGGGGAGGGCAGCGAAAGGGCTATTTTTCTTTTGGTCCCGCGCCAAACTATCCTGGGGAGGGCAGCGCAAGAGCAATTTTCCTGTGCCGCCCAAAACCCCATCCTGTGGGGGGGCGGGCGCAAGAGCAAAGTTTATGTGCCGCGCCACATCTATCCTGGGGGGCAGGGAAGCCAAGAGCATGGAAACAAAAAAGGGCCTGGAAAACAAGGCCCCAAATGAGTTTTTTTCGGGGGAAAACTCTGAATTTATAACTAAATTTTAAATTATCTGTTTGCAAAGAAAATTTAGAAATTTTCGTTAATATATTGGAAATTTTTTTTTTTCTTTAAAATAATATTTTATCTATCTCTTTTTTTCCCCCTAAGGGGGACCAGGGGGCGACCTTTAAATTTTTTATTTCTTTTAGATCATTATCTGTTTGTCTGCGGGAAATTTGGGTTTAAGTACTTGTGGCCAACCCTGAGCCTGGCCCTACAGCATCAGTCCCTAAAAGATTTGGGGCCCAAAACCTAAAGCCTGGCCACTCCCAGCTCAGCCCACCCCGGGAAGTCCTTGGGGGCCCAAAAACCTTTAGCCTGGCCCTACACCCATCAGTAGCCTAAATTTTCTTGGGGAAAACCCTGGGGCCTGGCCACAACCCCAGCCTTTATCAGCCTTAAATACTTGTGGCCAAGCTTGAGGGGCCATTTACGGGCTTCAGAAACCCTTTAAAGGGTACTTGTGGCCAACCCGTGCCGGGGCCACTACAGCATCATCCCCTAAAGTACTTGGGGCCCCCAAGCCTAAGCCGGGCCCAAACAGCATCAGTTACCCTAAAGTACTTTTTGGGCCAACCTGTGCCTGGCCACTGCAGCATCATTTCAGCCAAGAAACTTGGGGCCAACCCTTGCCTGGCCACTACACCCTTCATTCAGCCCTGAAGTACTTGCCCCCAAACCTGTCCCTGGCCACTGCCCCATCAGTCACTGAAGCAAAAAAAATTTTTCTTCCCTTTTCATTAAACGCAAAACTTCTGTAACTTTTCTCTTTAAAAACATTTAAGTACTAAAACCCTCCTCATCATACTTTAAAACTACTCTAACCTCCTCATTAAACACAAATGCTCTACTGGGGTTCACAAGCCAAAAATCTGTCCTTTTAACA